TCAGAAATACATAATTAAAAGTTATAAAAACCAGACATTACAAAGATAAAAAGGCTAAAAAGTCCAAGAGGCTGATAGGGGCCATACCAGGCCGCTAAGGGGCCAGCCAACCCCATTTCTGATAAAAGTATTAATCTCAAGTTCTACTCACAGATTTCCTCTGCTGATTTAACATTTATTACAATGTTAGGTTAGCCTTCATTTTGATCCATAGAGCTGATGTGTGGCAAAAAAAACCAAACAAACAAACTATAATGCCCTTAAATAAGCTGACATGAAGTACTTTATCATAAAACACTACTGCTGTGGGAAAATGCAGTAAAACACTTTAGCTTTGGGTCATATGCTGATATCTACGGCAAGAAATAGGACAGACTTTAGTATCTGTACAGTACAATCTTGCTTGTGCCGTGAACAGCAGATCTGAAGACAGCCCACATACATTGGTGCTTTAGGGAAAGATCCTAATGGCATCTTTCTTCCCTTGCAGTTTTATGACACAAGCTCCTGTCCAAGCTTTTGGCTGGTATGTTTTAGTCCTAATTAGACAGTGTCATGGTCTGTTTTCTGCCTTCAGTAACGTAACTTCTGTACTGCAACTGAACATCTCAACACACTGAAGCAAGATATTTAATCATCGGTATAGTTTGGCACATTACCACATGTCTTGTGGTTATATATTGTAGACTGTATGATCAGCTGGTTATTATAATATTAAGAATCCCTTAGCAGAGGGGGTAGCCCTGGAAGATAACTTAGAAGCTTCCATTGGTGAAGAATGTAGCTATTGTCATAACTTGGCTTATACAGGCAGGTTTATTCATATTTTAAAGGTTTTTAAAGAAATTCATTGATTTTCTTACTTTCTTCTGGAACCAGGTCAAGATGTTTTACAACCCTAAATAGTTTAGGACCAAATGCCTGAGATAACAATTTTTCCCAACTGTTTTTGAGATCTTTTGCTAATATCCTTTTTCTGGCCTTACTAACAAAGTCTTTCTCAGCAATAGCACCCGTAGTATGGAGTACCTTTCCTGTAGAATTTGCATAGTACCTACACTGGGAAGTTTTCAGCTCTTACTTGAAATAGGTTTGAGAAGATAAAGATTGAAGAGGAGGTGAAACTAACCTCTTTGCTGAATGTGGACATGCAGAAGTTGGAAAGCCCTTAGCAGGAAATGCTTTCTATTGGACTCTTGCACTGAGTAGACAATTGGGCTCAAAGCCTGTCCTACACTATGATACTGGGATTTTATATTACTGTTATTTATATAGATTAGACTGAATATATATATATATATATTCAGTCTAATACAGTGATGGAGCTCAAAGGACCCAGACAGCCAAGGAACAAATTTAGTCACTATATAAGCATAATCTCTGAAGCTCAAAATATAGACTGAGGATTTTGAATTTGTTTTTTAAAAATCCATTAATAGCTCATTTAACACACTGAAATAACTCATAAACCTCATTCTGTAGTCAGTAAAATACCACAAGGGTATTGCTGTATTTGAACACTGACATATTTTTCCAGATATGTCTTCCATCTGAAGAATTTCAGTTTCATGGAAAAATCTAATAAAACTCCCTCCCTCCTACCCCCATTTTTGTTTTTTGTTGTACTCTAATATCCTGGTTTTAATCACACTACATTTTACTGCCAAATATAGGCTCTTAAGTGTTTGTTGATTTTAACACTGATGAAATTATCTGATGAAATTCTCCTTGTTTTATAAAAATACATAAAATCTCCCCAAGGGCATAGGAAGTTAATTACACAGAAAATAATTTTATTACTAAATGAAAAAATGAACCACACCTCATTTGAATCAATGGCAGGATTCTCTTTGAACTTTTTTCTAACTACAATGCACGGTTAGGTTGTATGGGGCCCGAAAGCAGCCATGACTTTCCATTAAGGAGGATGAGTGAGGAGCTGATGCCATTGTAAGGGGATGATAGTAGCAAAGTTGTCTGTCAAGGATGATGCGCCATCTTCCCCTGGTGGAACCAATATGGCCTTTGATTGTAATTCTCTGTGATTAGATGTCCTAGATGTTTTATAATGTCTTATTTGTAGACTCACTTGGGGCACATTTGGGGAGGGTTGTACATTATCAAGAACTGTCCAGGGACTCTGTTTTCAGTTAGGAAGCTACCTTATATTAGGCCAAATAGTTGGACCATCAATTTTGGCTATTTTGACTGACAAGATATATTCCAGATTATGCAATAGCCAGTTTTAAGTGGAGATATAAGTCCCTGAAAGTTCTTCAGGGAAATTCTCCTTTCTTCATACTTATCTTCTGAAAAATTGTGCTGTGTCTTTAGCTGGGGTCTCTTATGACATTTGGCCACAAGGCAGGATAAGAATGAACGATGAACTATTCTTAACATGGCTGATCATCAGGGCTTTTATTTATGCCATTTACGCTGTGGCGTAACCTCAGTATTCTTAGCAAAATGTCTGAATACTGAGTACTGACTGAATCCAGTGTTTACACCCGGAACATACTTTACATGGTATAGATATAAACCAGGATTAGAACCAAGAATTTTCAAACTCAATAGTTTTCCAGTAGAGATTGTTTTTGGTAGTATAGTACAGGGGGAGAGCAACAAAGAGAGAGAATATATTTTTATGTGGAATTTTCTATTACATGTAAAAATAGTCCGTACATTTTCAGACATCAAGTATGAAAGCACCTATGCTTCAAAAACTGGGAAAACTTTGAATCATTTCATAAAAAGTCCACTTTCTTGACTAAATTGACCAGAGTTGTTGGAAGTTGGGCAGCATACAGATTTGATTAATAAGATAAATAAATGCAGCTCTCAGATCTTGGAGCAAATATGCATGGTTTTATCTAATTTTGACTGAACAATTAATGTTTGATACTTGGTTACTTTTCCTAATCTAATGCTGATAGGTTGCAGATATTTTACAGTATATAATTTGCACACATGCTTCTCCCATTGTAAATATGCAACCCAAGCAATAGTCCTTCCTTCCTTCCTTCCTTCCTTCCTTCCTTCCTTCCTTCCTTCCTTCCTTCCTTGATGATGCTGTACAAATAGAGTGTCTTTTATGACCAGATAAAACATTTGCTTTGCCTTGTCCCCTTTAGTGATGCTTCAGTGTTGAAACTATTGTATCATTGTGTGATACATTTGCAGTTATTTTTTGGTTACCGATCTTGTCTTGTAGTTTTCACCAGTTTAAATCCAACTGCTTTACTTTTGTGAGGCAGCCTGAAATACTCAAGGCTGTTTTATAGAGACTATCACTTTCTGGGTTATTTTCCTATTTGTTGGCCTTGTTGTGGGGGCAGGTTCCTGGACCTTCACAACAGAAAAAGGTCCAGTTGCTTTTGTTATGTAGGGGAGTTTGTGGAACAATATTCCTTTAGTTCTTTGTTCTAGGACAAGCTTGCTGCAGTGATTGGTGTCAGGTCCATTCAGCATAAACTTCCACCTCTTTCATCTTGTTGACTCATGGTTCTATTTTGACTTACATCCATTTGTGCATTTACTACAAATTTCTTTTGTTCATCAATAGTGAGGTCCCCATGTTAGTGCCTTTCGTACTTCTTGGTCTGAAAAAAGTGAAAAGTTGACACAGTATAAAGGAAACTGGTTGTCTTCAGGATTATCTTTATTTCCAAGAATGTCTCTAGGCCTGACATTAGTTTCTATAGGCAGTTCTGCAAAATAGTAACAATGAGTAGCTGTAACTTGGTTCTTTCTTTGGCACTGGCACCTGCCTAGAAAAAAGACAAAGGTAAGTTGCATAGGACTGAGATTCTGGAGGGCTTGAAGAAGTTGATGGGGAGTAACTTAACCAGTTTGCCTTCTGATAGATAGGTGGATTGTTTGGTGACTAGATATGCCACCATAGCCATATGTATACATCCACAACTGCTTAGACCACTTAGAAATGTCACTGCACTGTCTAGTAATAGTAAACCTTTTATTTTGCTACAAAGTTCAAGAAGAAAGCAATGTCAGCTAAATCAAGGATGACCTACTTGCTGTCCTTATATAGTTCTCCAACTTCTGGGGCTCCCAAGAGAACTTGAGTTGCCTTGTGGTCATCCTAGACCTAAGCATTTCATGCTTAAAGGCTAACATTTTCACAATGGGAGCACATGCTAAAACAACCTTGTTGAGCAGGTTCAGTTATGGCATGGCATAGCTTCTATTGTAGCGTCCAGGAAGAGATTGTCAGAGAAAAGAATGAGAATTGTAACAGGGAAGAACAGCACAGAAGAGAAAGTAACTGGCAGGGACAGGAAATCTGAAGCCATTCTTAACTAATGGAATAAAAGTCACTCTCATGGCTTGTGCTTGGATTTAGGCCTGAGTGGATGGGAAGAAATTCCAGATTGGGACCACTGCAGACAGAGGAGACATTAACCTTCTGCCTGTCCTACTGTGATTCTGATTTGGACAACCTCTCCCTCATTCCTGCGGTTACCATTGAACAGTCTTTACAATACATAGGGATGGGTCTCTTCCATTGAACACATGGACTGGAATGCAAATCAGGATTGCAGTGAGGATGGGGAGGATTAAAGCTGCTCATTCATATGCAAAATTCCTATATTCCTCCTTCCTTTCTCCACTGAAAGAAAAATCCTGCAGACAAACTAATTATTTATTGATTTGATTTCTATCCAGGCTTCACTCGGTATAACTAAAGATGGCATACGTAATGCTTCCTTCTCCTATTTTCCCCATAACAACAACCCTGTGAAGTGAGATGGGCTGGCAGTGACTGATCTGAAGTCACCCAGCTACCACTCTCCATGTTTGATGGAGGACTAGAATGCACAGTATCCTGGTTTCTAGTTTCTAGTTCACTACTACTTTAACCACTACACTCAACTGGCTCCCAAACATATGTTTGTCAGGGAATTGAACCCATGCCTGCAGGGAAGACTGCAACCTGAGCACAGCACCTTAGACTGCTTGGCTATCCTGACACCTATAATGTGTAAATAAATCATATAATTGGGATAAATAAATGGGTAAACCCATCACATAATCATAATGATGTTGACTATGTAAAACTTGCAGTGTCTAACCAGAATAAGTACTTATAAGGATCATAATGGAGGGCTGTTGCAGCATTTAGGAAGTTAATTGCTTGTAATGTGGTAGGGAGCCTGGATGTTGAATACAATCCACCAGACTGTCTGTACATTTATTATCCAGCAATAAAAGGTATAGAAGCTAGAAGCCAGACTAACAAGTGCAATCCCAATTTCCACAAGCATTTATTGAAAAAAGCCAAGATTCTTATAGTTGTTTTATATTTATGAATTATTAGGTCTGCAAAGAAAATGTTAGGCAGAAAGAGAAAGCCTGTATCTGTTTTAGAAAGAAAATATGTGTGGGACTAAAAATGAGAAACTCCACAATAACATGTCGTATTTGCAAGATAATAGTTCTCTGTGTTGCCAAGGTCAGTATGAGGTTGGATTGACTCCCATGTAACTGAGACTTGGGCAAAAGATGATTTAGCGAACATGTTGAACTCAGCCAACTTTTCAGAATCTGGTTTTCATTCATGATCACAACATTCTTTCCTTGTTTATGCCATTCCTCCTCCCCTTTTCCATGTACAAACACATACACATTTACGCTGCTCCTAGTCCAGATCTGTACCTTAACTCCTAATTACAAGCTTGAATGAACTGAATTAACTCATTCTTGCCCGGCACAAATAATTCTTTATATTTATTTGCCAACAGATGGTACACAGGAAATCATTGTGGCTTCCTAGCAAGTACACTGTGGTGATACTTGTGTTCATTCTGGAAGATACATATTTGTTTCATTCATGCTTTATATTGTTGAATGAATGCACTTGAAATCTATCAGTACACTTCTTTCTTTAACACATGGGAGTCTCTGGGTCACTGTCATAATGTCAAAGGATTCAGGATTTCACAGTACAGCTTTTTTTTCATGCCAGGATTCCCTGTTCTAGAAACTGGGCATGGGGGATGAAAGAAAAAGTCCTGCCTTCTGATACTGTATGCAGGGTTTTTGACAGTCAAATGCAAGGCTGGAAGGATCATTAGGTGAAATGAAGCAGCACTTTGAACAACAGACAGTGGCATGCAGTGGGTTCAGGCCCCAACTCAACCTCCACTTTCTGATCTGCCTAATTAGCAACTGCAATGTGCCTATACACAGTACTGGAAGAGAACCTCAGAGCAATGCATTGTGAGAGGGCTATATGGCTGCGCACATAGAAATCATTTAAATGCTTCCTTAGAGCAAATAGCAGGGAAGGGTTATATGGGAGGGAGAGAACAGTAGGAAGGAGTGACAGATGGAAAAAAGAGGAGAGCAACAGACCCCTTTAAATGGTTGATTCCCTTCCTCCTAGTTCACTCTGGGTCATACCTGGTTTTAAAAGCCATTCTAACATTCTTCCCATCCATATTGGGTGAATAATGCAGAGGAAGTCCTGCAGTGTGCCCCTTCATGTTATAATATACAAAGTAGTTTTGATTTACACATATGCCAGAGGATATTGTTCAAAGTGGAAGAGGTTATTTATTTATTTACTTGATATTATTTATGTACAGAATTTACATGGCTGCTCAGTTTAAACACTGTAACCCTTTAAACAAATCCCTGCACAGCCCTGATGGAAATCATGGGACCTTCATTTAACGCTCCAGAAAGACGCATTACTGTAGAAAACCTTTTGAGAATGGAATAATGTTGTTGGGTTTTTCTGCCCAAGAAAAGAAATAGTTTCGTTCAACTAGAATATCCTATTAGTCTGTAACCTTGCACACAGATGAATCTAAATTAAGCTTGTTTTCAAGGCAGAATTCCAACATTGCAGGTCAAAACAAAATCTTGACATACATACTCAAGTACTCCCAGCACACACATTTTTTTTAAGTAGATAAAAATGCAAACTGTAATTCTTTGATGCAGAATATCTTTATGAAACACTGCGATATTAAGCTGAAAGATTGTGTTTACTCTGAGGGCTATTTTCTGCATTCCAGGCAAGAACCTGTTTTAACCTCCACACCCATCTCTAAGAAACTGGAGTATTTAAAACTACGGTATAGAATAAAAAGTGTGTGCACATTCAGGACAAAAATCTTGCTTTTTGAGAATATATACCCTAATTCAACTACTCCATTTATTTTCAAAAGAAGCAGAAAAAAAGCAGAATACACTGGAATTATATTATTATTATGGTTGGTCACACAGTCAGCCAGATTTTTACACTTTATTTGGCATTTGTATCCATCTGTTGAGTCCTTTCTAAGGCAGATATTGTTTTTTGATGGTGTTAAAGGTATCGTTGCAGGATATAAGCTGTTCCAAGTAAAGCAGCCTTTTGCAGTTGACTGATGGTGACTGATGGTGATTTTGTCAATGCCGATGGTTTTCAAGGGGTACTTCAGATGTTTTGGGATTGCACCCAAGGCACCTATAACTATTGGTACTATCTTTGCTTTCTTCTGCCACAGACATTCTACTTCTGTTTGCAGGTCTTTATAGTTTGTGATTTTCTCCAGTTCTTTCTTTTTCTATTTCCTATTCTGCTGTCTTCAGGTATTGCAATGTCCACTATCCAGACTTTTTTGTCTTTCTTATCAACAATTGTTAAATCTGGGATGTTGTGTGGCAGGGGCTTGTCTGCTTGAATTCTAAAGTCCCAGAGCACTTTCGTTTCTTCATTTCTATTACTTTGTTTTGTGGTCCCACCAGTTCTTGTTTACAGGCAAATGCTATTATCATTATCATTATTTAGATTTAATATAGCTGCCCACTCCAGTGTGTATGCCTACAGATCTAGGTACACAGAAGGGAATGAATAATCTACAATGAATCATAATACACACTTCCCTTGATAAAAATAAATTCTTACCTGAGTTTTAGTCAATGAATGTCTGCTCAGATCAACAAACCTACACAGGAGATCACCAGCATTTTTAAGTTCTCATCCTACTCATTCAGAATAACAAAGATATATTTACCCAACTTAAGCCTGTCCCGGGCAAACTCCCATTTGCTGGCCTCGTATGGAAGCCGTTCACATTGTTCATCTAAGGGGACTTCTTCAGGATCCAATATGATTGATAAATAGTCTGTCTTAATTTCGGAAGAAGAAGGCTAGAAAATAATGTTTAAATTCCATTGTCACTATAATATGTATACCAATTCAGAGGAAATTGTCCTGATTCTGGTCAGGAAAATGGTAGATTAATTAGATATGATTGCAGCAGCAACTCACATTACAGATGTACATTTCCTGTGCCAAAACACAACATTTTCAAGTTTCTTCACTTAACTTTGTCATGTAGATTTTCATTATGACCACATTTTTGCACCACTGTCTCTCACTTCCATATTGGATGCTTGATTTGTTTTTGTTTTTTGTTTTTTCCTATTAAATCCATATGAAGACCTTGTCAGATAATAGCCACCTGATAGAGATCTGAGCCTGAAGTTTCAGGCAGGGGTATTTTCAGAAAATGACTAACCTCGGCTCCTAAAAAAGGATTTGGCTGACAGCCGTTCATAAAACAAAATTCTGGCATATGCAACAGAAGATTTCAGCTGTCAATGTTTGTTAAAAAGAGAGAGAGAGAGAGAGACCAAATGTGGTTTAAAAGTTGTGCAAGGCTTAGATATAATCTGCAAAACATTAATCAGTAACATTTTGTGTATGCATTTTTCAAATGTTCAAGAATTTACATTTCCCCCTAGGCTTCTGCGTTTGCGATCTTATTTCCTCCATAATCATTGCTAAAAGTAATTTAGAATCACTAGACTGTAGGAAGGATTAAAACTGTAATCCTATACATACTTATTTCTGAACAAGCCTCACTGAATTCAGAAAGATTTAGGCATGAGTATCTATCTAGATGATCAGGCTAACTAATCTTGATTTGAGGAGTAATGGACAAATTCCATTCTGTGCTCTCATGGCACACTTGCTTTGCGAGATACTTAGAAGAAATAGTCATATTTATTTGTCCAATGATTTTGGGCAATATTGGATAATTTTAAATTAGCGTATTTTTAAGACATCAAACTATTTGAGATAAAGGGCAATATGATCACAAAATGGGTAAATAAAGTGGGTAATTTTGAAATCATGTTTGTTACGACTCAGTTTAAAAGAGATGATCAATACTATTTTTTCTCCTTTCAGATGGGAAGCCCTATCACTTCTGGATTCCATCTGTGATTCAGTGTGACTTCAGCAAGCAAGCTGAGGTCAGGTCTCACTGACACATCTCAGTATGGTTGTTCAGTCTAGGTTTTCAATGTGAGGCTGTTCTTCAGTCTTTCTGGGATTACTATTTAGAGCAGTGTTTCTTAACCTTAGTAACTCTAAGATGTGTAGACTTCAACCCCCAGAATTGATTATCCTGGAAAAGGTGTATCTATGTCAGTGTTGTCCAAACTTGGCCACCTTAAGATGAGTGGACTTCAACTCCCAGAATTCCCCAGCCAGCATGGCTGCCTGGGGAATTCTGGGGGTTGAAGTCCACACATCTTCAAGTGGCCAAGATTGAGAAACACTGATGTAGAGTATTGGACGTTTAATGGCAATCTCATCCTTCCATTCCATATAATCTGGCTCTCTCCCCCAGGTTAAATCAACCTTCTATACAAAGATTGCTACAATCATTTCAAAAGACCATTGAAGGTATATTAAAAATGGATCTAACAGTATTTCAAAAGAACCCTAGACCCAGGCATAGAAGGAGTCTGCTTACTGCCTGGGCAGTGCTTTGTAAACCCCAGGGCTGGTGGTACACCTGTAGCAGCCAGAAGTAACCAATGGGAACTGGGAAAGTCCCAAACCCAGATTATGTCATTTTTAATCTTGTCAGTGAGACATCATACAGTAGAATATTTCTACAGCAATCATGGATTAGGAGAGGAGAAAAAAACACTCTACTTAAAACTGGAAGAGCCAAAGATTAATTAAGCTGCCTCCATAGGAGTTCTGGGGTTGAGATAAAGGCTGTCTCATATCCTCTAAAAATGGATAGTGGGCATCTTTATGCTATAATTGGAAGGTGTGAGAATGAGACCTAAATCATGTATATAATATATGAGCCTGCTTGAGAATTTATGCTAAAAAAATAAGGTAGTGGAAGATACCAAAAATAGCAATGCATGGGTTCCAACTTTGGGAGAACACAGGCATTTCCTAAATAGCTTTTTAACAAAAATTTTGAAAACTGATAAGAAGATAAGAGGAAATGAATTTGTGCTTCACACAAATAGAAAGTTGTAGAAATAAAAATAGATAGGTTGATTCAACCCAACTTTAGTTACAAGAACATCCAGTCCAGCTTTTAATGTATAACGGCTACTGGAGCATGTTCCTGTATGAAGCTGGGAGTCTGTCTCTTGCATATCCCTGAAATATAAACTTCTGGCTAAAAGATACACTAAAGTAACATCTAAGATAGAAATTCATGATGGTTTTGTTTTTACCCTTTTTAGCTTTCGTATGAAGAGTGTTAACAGGAGCCAGAAGAGTGTGGCTGCCAAACAGGTGCAGGTCAATGTTATTAGCTCCAGGTTTGAGTTTTCAGATGTTCCTAAAAACAAGCAAGCAAACCAAAAGGTTTATTGTAAATACCAACATTAGTTTCTGTAAAAATAAATCCAGAACTTAACATATATTGAAAGATACCTGTAGTCCATAGCCATTTCATTTTCAAGTGCCATCAACTGAACCAGTAAGAATGACGAAATATTTAATCATGGACTGCAACTCAACTCTCAGAATTCCTAGCTGTGATGAGTAGTAGGCACAATTTACATGTAATAATGCCTAGCTCCTATAACCATTCTGTACCAATTGTAGTTTCAAGACCTTCTTTAAGGATATTCTCAAATTGAAACCTTGACCTTAATTTTAAAGGCTCCAGACATGTTGGGACTCTTGGCTGCCCTCCACACCACAACCCCAAGAAAATATGCGGTTGGTTTAAGTTAGGTGCTCTGAGGCTGTAGCTGACCTTGCTCCCTTGGGATCTGAATCTCTCCCCTGAAAGCTCCTCACCTGGCCTCCAGCCTCCTCTTCAGAGGTGTAAAATGAGCTGATCAATTGACGCAGTGGTGTATGCAGGTTAAGGTCAAAAAAGTCAAGATGGCAACTGTGTTGGGGTGACTGAAGCTTCACCTACTTTTTATGTGCTTTGCAACTTACAGAAAATGAGTAGGTTTAACATCACAGAAAGCCAATTCACAAGGCCACCACATTTTAATTCCTGTGAAAGTTCTCACCCAGTCAAAAGTAAACAACCTGAAACCAGATCAGGCCATTATCAAAACAAGAAACAGATGGACACTGTATTGCCTACTCAAAGGAGATTTGCTTCTAGCCCTTTGTTTAGCACAGGTAGGAGAAAGAAGGGCAAGAAAATTGAACATTGATTGTTATAAATAGATTTTGAATTTGATATACCACAGTCACGGGAAGTCTTTCATAATGGGGAGCATAGCTTTTCTACAATAAGTCTATTTATCTGGGTCTTCACATCCTTGGAAATACATTCTTGAAGTATTGCCTTGTCACCTGAAAATGCCTGGCTTATAATAAAAGTTGTCTATATTCTCAGACAGAAATAATTTATTCATGCCAATTTCCATTCTCAAAGAACCTGAATTCCCATAATCTATAGAATACTTCAGAAATTCTCATTTATTAATGTTGGAATTATTGTGTAAGGATCTGAGATGCAAAAGGCCATGGATATAGTGCCAGTCAGGGATTCCAGAAGAAGTCATCTCTGCATAACAGTTTGCTTTGCAAGGTCTGTGGAAAATAAATGTTGTGAAGACAAGGCTAATATGGAGGCTAATAACTATACATTCTTAGATGGAGTCCATATCCATCCATCCTCCATAATTTTTTAGTAGTACTTAGCATCAACTTCAATTTTCAGACATTTCAGCAAATTAAACTTAATGGTCTTAATGCTGGATACAATGCAGAAGAAGAGGAGGATCACATAATAAAAAAGTGTTAGGGTGGACACCCCAGATGTTCTCTTTCTTCTGGTCACACATGGTCATCAACATACATTCCTCAAGGTCCATATGTGGTACTTGATTCCCCAAAGGGCGATTTGCACTCATAACTTAGTAGAAATTATTTGACATCCTATTTCTTCAAATTAGTACCCTGTTACATTTAGGATATAAGCCTTGCAGTGGTTACTCAAAACAGTGTTTTTGTTATCAAAAATCATGTAAAAGATTTTGTATATCATGTGCATCAAAAGCATACTTTCCACTGATTCAAAGAATCCTAACTATTCTGGACATAGGTAGGTCTATGCTGCTATTTCTTTGTGCTATTATACAAAATTTCCAGTCTGCCTATAACTCTTGTATGTTCAAACGTTTCCCAGGGTAGCACTGAGTACAATGAACTGTCTTGAACTGTCAAATTAGTGTAGCATCATGTGTATTCTGCTGCTCCGTGCAACACCACACTTTACCTTTTTGCATTGGTGTGCTCCTCTGTACCTGATTTTGCCCACTTATTGCTTTACATATGTTAGCATTCTCCATCAGTAAAAGACAGATCCCAGCTGTGTACTTCAAAAGCTATAATCCTTAAATAAGATGTTCTGCATGATCAAGTGCAACAAGAACACCTACAAATCATTATGAATGATTGTGGAGGTAGGAGAGGAGATGAGAAAGAGTGGAAATCTAAATTGAAGAAAAAAATAACTATAACTCTTTTCATCCCCAATAAAACACTTTTTTCCAGTTCTTGTAACATGTACCAATATTATATGCAATTTCCGTAAAAGCCTCCTGTTGCTCTGACATTCTCATCAAATGTCATCTTAGTTTAGGACATAACATCTGCTGAGTAAACACTGGAACAGGCAGATCTGGAATATGATTTTCCTGGAATGTGTCTTGCTGTTCAGTCTTCCAGTCCAGTATCATTCTTGGCAAAAGAAAGAGGGATGATTAATGTCTTCCTTGTGGGGTTCTTGACTAGACCAGAGGTCTACGGTGCCTATTTTAAGTGAGTCTGTGAAGGGGCAGTCACATTCTTGGTTTTTTCAACTATTTTGTTTCTAAGGCAGGCTCTTCACAGTATTAACCAGATTCCTACTTATTTTCAATCGTTTCTAGTATTCCGTAGTTCTTACCAGAATATGCGAAAACAGTAAGATTTGAATAATCTTTTATTAAACCTAACAATAGCCTACTGTAATTCTGAGTCACCTGAAAAATGAAATCTTAATCTGGGCCAAATTTCTGTTCCAATTAAACCAATAATATAATATTGTGACTACCAGCAACTCTTCAAAGTCTGAGACCATCATCTTGGTTTCTGAGATCTATTTAGCAGGCAGAAAGGAAGGAAATGCCAGAAGCCTTTACTACTGCAAGTATGTGAAAAGCCCAGCTCCTTACATGAGTCAGGCTGAAAAAAATATCAGATACTTGTTGGAGATGCTCCATCCAAGTCCTTCTATTTCCTGAAATGAAGCAGCTTGTGAACAGAGACAGGATCTCTTTTCAACTATGACCCAGCATGTCTGAAATGTCATCCTTGAAAGGCTCACTTGGACAAAAATCCGATGTCTTTAAATAGTTTTGTTTAAATTGCTTGGTCTTTTACTATATTATGTATCTGTCTATAACCTGAAGTCTTTAACTGTATTTTAAGATATCTTTGTCATTGTGACTACTGTTTTTAGGATGTGTTCCTGATTCACATCCTTTTCCTTAGTAGTTTTACAATTGTCATAAATTTTGCTCATAGTTTTTAAATGGAATGTGCAATACGCACAGGTAGTCCCCAGCTTAAGAACAAGTTCCGTTCCCAAGGTCTGT